CTTAACATCTCTCTAACTGACATAGTAAGGGCACACTAATACAAAATAATGTTCCTCTTCGAGCTCCATCAAGTTACATTTATGGCATATTAGGTATTCTGTATCACACGTTTTACTCACGCGTGTCACCTGTAGTTTAAACAATGACATAAATATCGGAATTTGGCGAAATTTTACATGGGATTTTACTCAAAATGTGATTTATATGATCCATGCTGTCTACGAAACACGGAAGTATTTAATTTTATGCGCAAAGTTTGGATTTGGATGTCAATGCATCTGCTACGAAAACTGTTTATGAAAGTAACTCATTAACACATTTTGTGAATGTATATATTATAATATGGAAATTCAGTTTCAAGTAATAGCTTTTTAACTACAATGAGACGACATTTTTCAACGCAAATTTAGTTCAACTGTTACAGAATAACAAATATAATTTACCTTCCCGGTTTGATATTTATGGGGTGCGACATTTTGGACGATGCATGTAAACAGTTGAAAGACATTTTGAACATTTTTTTACTATGTTACAGTATTTGTGATAAATTGCTAGATAGGAAAGAAATTAAAAGTATCTTCTGTAGAAAAGTAAATCCCAAACTTCATATTAGCCGTTATTTTATATTGCCCGCCATGTTATAGATTCAGCTTATAGTTAACTGCGTAAACCGTTATACTGTTAACTATAGGATTTAAAATTGCATGTGTTCTTTCATAAAACAATTATGCCAATGTACATAATGTCTAATTCTGGTGTAGGCTGATGAGAATATAATGTATACGAAGTTTCTTTTGTCCTTAACTGACAAGTTAACTCAACGTAAATTGAGCTACTTTTCACACATGGCTCTCAAACAGAATCATATATGTTAACTCTAAAGGACTGTTCATAACAAAATAATATGAATATGTTACAAACTGTAAATATTATGTTGAATTAAATATACATTCTGAAGTGTATGCACCTTTTTTCAGAGAAACTGAAAGTGCACAGCCATTAGTTAATATTGATTCGTCATAAAAGGTTAAATTTGGATCCAGTCACTTGAAGTGAAATAAATACACATATGATACTTGTTATAGATACAGCAGAGAACGGTTACTTGCAGGATGAAACGCTTAACAATTTTATCTGGATCAATTTATACGATAAAAACAAATATATAATCTTACAGTATGTGTGATGAGGAATGAAACCTACAACGAACTAAATAATCTTCTTTTGGTGTCTCCCTTCATGATGACTAACGAAGTAAGCTGTTCTACACATTGAGGAGTACCAGAAAAGCAAGACGATGTGTGAGAAACAATACCATATAGCTTATTATTAGTATTTCTATAATTCATATCGACATTCTTGGCACTATAATTAAGTTATGACGACTCAGTCATTCAACAACGATAACTACAAAATGGGCGGGTTGAATTTTGTCACTGGAAAATGAGAAAAGCTTATTCTGTTTTCAAGGTAGAACTTCTAGAATTAATCATGTTTTTAAGAGTGTTTGAACGGCATTTACAGATTTAAGCGAGAAATTATGGATGTCAACTTCGTTATTTCATGTGACACGACGTTTCAGAGTATATTCTTACTCCTTCATCACCTGATGAAGGACGTTCCAAGTGATGAAGGACGTTTCAAGTGATGAAGGACGTTCCAAGTGATGAAGGAGTACGAATATGAAAATCATGAAGTTAACATCCATAAATTATCGCTTTTTTCGTGTGTGTTTTCAGTTTTCAAATGTAAACTTTGGCGCAGTTAGTAAAATATAAATTTATTCTGAGAAATGCTGGAAATACCAACGGTTTTCACCAACACATTGTCATTCAATTTCATGTTTCAATTCTCGCAATAAATTTGGAATGCATTGCCTTCTGAGAATAGAGTCATGAATCCTTCGTAATGTTTGTGGCTAGTCTCCCTATAACAAACCCTGCATCCCGCCTCAATATTTACAAGGAATTAGTATAATAATATAGTACTCGATTGTTGAATTCCACGTACATATTAAATAACGATCTGTTCTGTGTCGATGCTTGTCACTAATGTCCCTGTTGTATAAACGCTCAGGAAATTCATTTCTTTTTTATATTCACTAGTTTGTATGCAAAGAACGCTTCGTCTCTGGGTACATTACCTGTACTGTACAAAATTTGACACCAGTGCTCTCAGTGATACAAACTTCATGTGACAAAGCTCATCTCACCAGCAATGTAGCTACTGTCACAACGGTGCAATCGTACATACACAAGTGGCTTTGTATACATTTTCCTTTTCATTTCTAACCCGCTTTTTCCCCTGTCTGTTGATATTTTGTTTTGAAAACATATTTGTAGTAAATACATTCGGGCTATTAAGTCGTGAAAACGTTTGCCATACACATGCACTTCGTTGTTGAGTTAATCATGTTACACCAAGCAGTGGGACCAATAGGCCACACACTCAGCCTTGTGTCACACTGTGACCAACAGATCCATAGTTCACACTGGCCCTACAATAGCATGAGCAGCCTAGTTTCAGTTTGCCGTTGTATCTCCCGGAGATCTGTCTGATTCAAGCGTTCCACACTCAGTTCCACTTCCATAAGCATGTGTTTATTTGGATGACAAAATAGCACTACTGGTACTCATGTTGATACTCCAGCATTATCATGTTTAGGTTATAACTATATCCGTTTAGGTTTGTACTTGTGTGTATTAATCATATTAGTAATATAGATGTGATCACAATAGCTGTTGTAATTGTTGCCTCATCCATAAGCATTTCTCAATGTAGGGCCGCCCTACAAGGGCCCGGGGTACTCCTGTCCTCTTATACACAAACAAATAACATATTAGTCACACCCGGTTATACTTGGTGAATTGTTAAGAACATTCTGGAAATAGATATTGATAAATTAAATGAGCTCACACGTAATTGTTGTTACTCGTCTCTCAGAAAGCTACTTCATCATTCCGTTCAACAAACATTGGGCGTAAAACAATGTACAGCTGTAAAATATGTTCTCCTGTTTGTCGTTTCAAAAATATTATTCAAGCATCGGCGAATGCTTCGAGAGTTTGAGACTAACATGTTTAGAGACCAACTGTTTTGCCTCCTCCAGTAGGCCTATAGTATACTGTCATAAGTACAAAGAGCGTGGCTGTGTGGGTGCGGCCTGTTTGTGGATTATCCTGCAATTACAAATAGTCCGAGGTGAAAGCCTAGTGTACCTCGCCACATCTGTGCTGTTCAATTTCCTATCTGACATAGATCACATGGCGAAAAACACGGTGTTAGTTGCAAGTACGACAGATGTCACACCTTCAAGTTCATCTCCACAGTTATCAGGTTTAATTTATCAACATTTGTATTATCTGACTAAGTCTCTTTGTTTTGTGTGGGATTGTATACACTCTATACACGTGCATTGGCTGTAGCATGACTACATACAACAGAGGCCGGAGCTGTTCCAACATTGTCACTGTTGTGAAATTCAGATTTTATTACAATTACTTAGTTGTGATTGCTGCTTAGTAATCGGATTCAGAAGTAAACTTTTGGAGGTTTAAATATTTTGAATTTAAATTTATGCGAGAACTGTAGTCGGAGCACACATTTGTATTTTCTTCAATAAAAAGATCAGGTTTATTGTTGGGTATTCACATCGACTTGACGCACGACTGCGGGTTGCTTACAACCAAGTTGATTACAACATCGAGCAAGTCTGAAATATGGTGATTTATTGTGCGATTGCATCAATAGTTGTGACTAAACACGCGTATTATCGCAACAACAATGTAGTAATCACGCATCTCCGCTTATGTGTCTGTAATAATACAGGCTTTACATTCGATTACGTGGATTGGAAGAATGAGAGGGACAGGTTTAAAGCAAGCACTCATTTAAGTAAACCTGTGCACGTCTTTACAATGTTTTTGCCTGTAAATCGTTTCGTGTATATTGTTGTTTGGAGCATTCAGAAAAACTAATGTATAATTTCTTACAAGTTGATAATCCTTATTGTCTTTCACTCGAAAAAATGAAAACATACCATTACTCGGACAACCCCACCATAAGATCTCCACGATAGTTCGTGTAAACTATATGCACATGTACAGACATGTGAACGAAATTAACCAGATATTATTTGAAAGAGTTTTTATTGTTACGTACATTTTGATTAATTCCTTCATTAATAGTCTGTAAATATCTCTTCTCACCGCTGGAGCCCATTTGGACTTAGTAATTTTTCAATCTGGATTGATAAAACTGACGTGTTTGCGTTTCACTTTGATATAACAATGTCTATTATCGCAATGATCGCTTGAAGTGGTTTTCTGAAGCACTTATAACGTTAGATAGTAGCTGTCACTTCTCAAGTGTCACCCACTTACTGTGTTTAGCGACTTTCAGCTTGATCTCGCATGATCTCACGTGAGTTCGCGCTGTCAACGTGATAACTATCCGTCAGTCAAAACCGACATTTTCTGCTTTGGTGCGGTCGTTAAAAAAGTTGGAATTCGGGCGCCTTGATGTAAAACGTGCACTCATTTACAGATTCAAAACATGTAGCGTCAGTTTAGATATAGCTGCCTGGAACAGATATACCTAGAAGAAGTTAAAATTAAGACAACCCTTTACGGGCCCAGGGATATGTTTTTTGCATAATTTAAATCAATGAATTGTAACAAGCGTTCAAGAAATGAATCAGAGTACAAGGGCTATCCAGAAACTGCTAGTCGAAGCGACAGATGAATATCGCAGTCAAGAGACTCTAATCTTCAGAACAAAACAGAGCATAACAGATGTTTATTACGCTCAAGCCGAAACCTCGTACAAGAGAGATATATATATATATATATATATATATATATATATATATACATACATACATGTAGATTGAGTTTTGGCGGATATACATGTATAGGTCAAGAATATTGAAAAGCGGCATTGTTTCTAAGAATGTAATCGTGATATAATACATTTGTATCATACTTTATTTTGATTGTAGATAAAGGACTGGGTGACGGGAAGGAAAAGTCAGATCACAATAAGCCGAGAAAGAAAAGGTCACGGGCCTCGTTTTCACATGGACAAGTTTACGAACTCGAAAGACGGTTCCGTCACCAGAGATACCTGTCCGGCCCGGAAAGAGCTGATCTTGCACAGGCACTGAAACTGACTGAGACTCAAGTGAAAATATGGTTCCAAAATAGGAGATACAAAACAAAGAGGCGACAACTTCAGCAGGAACAAGCATTTGCTGCCAATGCTAAAAAGGCAGCAGTGACTCTATTAGTTAAAGATGGGAAACGGTTATATAACCCGGAAGACTTTGTGAGACCAATTCTTTTTCCTTCCATACCGATTCCAGGTTTGAACTGTTACTACTGTATTCACTGACAAAGTTAGGTGTACGTTACACTTGCATTTCAAGATGACACAACAGCCGAACACCTCACACTCCATCACCTCGATTTGGATCAGTCACGTGCTGATACATCACTTCCGGTTTTACGGGACATAAAACTGTGCTGAAACATACCTTGAACTTGATACAGCATCTGTCACAGCACAGACTGTTGAGGTTGGAGGAGTTCATTGATGTATCATGTATCTACTTGTAACATGTTCGTAGTCTATGAATGTTGAGTTTGCCGGTACTTATTGTTCAGATTTCTATAGTGAAAGACTACAAAGCCGGCTTCACACTTTTGATAATTTATGAATGTCTTACTAAAGCTCATCCTTATTTCATGCGTGATTAGCCAGTACATACAGAACCCAATAAAACACACCAAACCATGAAGTATTACATACATTATATTTAATAAAATCCTTACATGTGTATTACATGAAAATATACTCAGATGATATTTATCAACTTGAAGGTATGATGCCTAATAAAAAGTATTGTCCTTTTGAACAAAATGATGACTTACTTTGGTGGGTTATTGTATTTTAGGCATATAGTTTCTGATCTACTCTTAGTGTTGCAAATGGATTTGTAGATAGTTATTTTTGTACATAATATGTTCATTTCCGGAGATATATATATATATGTTTTGCCCCGATTCGTCACTCTAGTCATCGTAATCCTCTATACGTGGGTTAGCAATTTGTATATGTATTACAGCATTTGTTACAAGTGTCCATTGTTTATCACGCAGTAAGATATCATAAGTGCTACAGTAACTGAATTTGTCAGGGGTATAGAAAATGACATTAAACAGGATTGAAATGCCAGTGACAAAACAATTTTTTTATTAACTCATCTTCAGTCAAAGCGTTGTCATATATTTCATGAAGCAGTCAGACAGGAAATCACCTCTTCTGAGGCATGTGCGCCTAACCTTATTCACCATATTGTGTTTACACAGAATTTTGAGTATAGAATATTCTTCAATTTCGAAACTCATAATGATTTATTTCACAAAAAAAGAGAGAAAATGTTAACTGTTTCCATGCAGAAAATTAATCTTTTATCAGCGCTTGTCGTTTTTGTGCAGTCATTTCAACATACATGTGAGATCTGATCACGTCATAATGTCATAACCATGTCTCTTCAGTGTTGTGTTTGTCACATCCCAGATAAACACTGTTGGCGTCATTTGTTATTGTGCCTTATCCTCTTGTTTCTGTATATGAAGAGAAATTATCAGAAATAAATGGACTGGGAACTTCATCGTTTTCAATGCAAATTGTTAATTGCGCGATAGAAATTGTCCACCGAGGTGATTCAACACCGGAAATACAGTCTGTCGATTACCTCTGATTCTCATATTGGATTGTTCACTGTTAAAATAAATCTCATGACTAAGGAAATAAATTAGCTTTGATAACTGGTCCAGTGGATCCTTTTTAGTTATATAATGTAAATTTTTAGTGCCAACATAACAAGAACGGCATCATCAATCGTGAACCCTTCATGAAATTACCATTATTCTCACGAGTGTAACATAAAGACGCGACCTACCTTGTATCAGATGTTTCCCATCTCTCAAACAACACGGGCTGTAGCAGCATGCTGGGGTATTGATGTCTAAAGTAGCTTCTAATTGCTCAGTGCAAAGATTTTGAGAATACCCCTCCAGGCGAGGGTAAATAATACAGAATAAATCTCGGTGCCTCGCCAGCCTAACATAAACAGTTGGGTACTGCAGGGGGAGACACTCACTCCGCTTTCTTTTCATCATTATGTCGCCCTGGGCTGAGAAAACTGCAGATCGAGGAAATCAAATTTCGGCAGCGTCATAGACCACCGGCTAAAATGTTTCCGTTTGCGGAGAGATGTTGGTATCATTACATGTTGCAGGTGTACGGACTGTGTATATTTGAATGTATACTGACAGTTTAGGAGCTCCGTACTTACTTAATGTCATAGGTACGCCGTCATGTTTTATCTCACATTGTGAATCTTATCAATTCCACATCAACCATTTTACAGTTATAAGGCTTGTAACAGACATTTAAGTTCGTTATATTTAAACACCAGTGGTTGCTGGAAACTGAAACTGAAAAAAAAGTGTTGATGTAATGACAAGAACATGAAAATATTAGGAAACACTAGTTAGGCACTGCGGAACTCCTGCAGCACGATTCACTCTCTCTATTTGATATTATTATTGGCTTCTTCTAAACACGGTCAATTCAAAATATATAGGCTTTGTTTTTGATTAAAATGGTTTATCTTCAGTGGCACGAATGCATTCTGAAGTATTCGACCTATTTCGACTTGAACATAAGCTTTGAATCAACTTGACCTGGCCAAATATGTCTGATAATTTGAATAAATAAATTCAACTTCTTGAATCATGTTCGTGAACGAAAGCGAAGACGTTTAATACGTGTCAGTAATATTAGCATTCGGTTTGAGTTTCATCGATTCAAAACCAAATATTGATGTGACAGCTAGGATTACAATCTCTTATCTTGCACTTGACAACACAAGTGAATGTTGGCAAATGTGAGTGGAATGTGGACAAGTCGATGACAAGTTCCCTGCATTGTCCGAGATTGTCCCCACATCCTGCACAATAAACTCTCAGTTTGCCCATAAACTTCCACTTTACCATGTTTACATACAATACACACTATACACGCTCACTGGGGGTCTACAGGGGCACTTCGTACCCCCTGTCTTTTCAAAACCGTCAGAACCGGCTGTTGGAACAAGATGTTCATTATCTACCTATATTAAATTAACGTTGCTTCACATTATCAATATGTGTCTCATGTCTGTCTGTCCACAGAAACAAAAAAAATAATATTTAATAAATTCTGATAGCAAAATGATTGTTCTTGACACAGGCGAAACAACACAAAATGGTTTCAAGTAAGTATGTCGGTAGTTCTAAATATGTTGTTTCCTCTACGAAAATAATGACACAAATGTACATGTGTGAGAATTACTGCTGCATTCAGCATTATATTCATACTGACAACCGAAATCGGACCTGTGGCTGACGAGCGAATGCTTTTACCACTAGCTAGGTAACCACACTGCACGTACTCTTAGTGAAACGCAGGAAATCAGAGTTAGGTAAATATAACAATCCGGCAAAGTATATAATATCGATGGGATTACACCACCCGCAGTGACAAGGGATGTTATCAAACTGCTTGTGGTGTTCGAAAAACAGATATCGTTCACTTCACTATAGTAGGTCGTAGGAAAAAATTGAAATATTTGGTTCATGTCAAATTCCTCAGCAAGTACAACTCAAATATTAACATTCCGTCATGGAACACATATGTTAAGGTACATTGGAGCTAAAAGATCCATGAAATACTATTGCACATCACTTTTCTTTCCACCCTCGCCTGTGGGGCCTCAAACATGGTCTCGGATTGGGATTTGACAGCTGACGCGTTCTGATCATTGTTCGGTAATTCTGAAAGTCTGGTGCTGGTTTCAGCTACTTGTTGGCATTCCCATGTCAAAACGGGATCCTAATTCAATACCGAGACACTCTCTTAGCAGGAGAACTGGAGTGCGATAAGGAGGGGTTGAGGGCCGCGGAGAGGCGCATGTGGCCACCGCCAGGGAGTATACCTGGGAACGTCCGACAGGAGAGTCCGGGCCCCTTGGTCGGGAAACAGAGGGAGATGGTGGTGAGGACAGAACACCTCTACAGGAACTGTTGGTTTCTGTTAGTGTGGATATATAGAAGCTTAACAAGCAAGCGTAAGCCGGCTATGCCAGCGCCTCCAGATACAGTGAGGGATGGGAGATGTTCTTCCGCCTTTGCCAGGTATTGACTTCTCAGCACCATCAGCCAAAACCTCGATGACAAGCATAACTTCATCCTGTTGGCCTCGGGGATGAGAAATACCGGCCGAAAGATTCTGAGTATCTGTTCGGGTAGCCGAATTCTATGTAGAACACTGGTATCAGGCTATATTCCACGCAATATCTGTACCACTTCTATCTTTACAGCTTTTGGGGTACATCTGTGATGTCATCTTTTTATGTAGCATTTATTCAGAGTATTTTAACATTTTCCTTCCATTGTTGGTACGGGTCTCTCTCACTTCATCTCAACTCTAAAATAGACAAAATTGTTAAAACTGCAAGTAAAATAGCTGGAGTCAGATTTGAATGTTTATCATCAGTATATGAGCGGCAAATCGTGAATCAAGCTGTCAAAATCATATCTGACCGTACTCACTACTTAAATTCGGAATACAATCTCCTCCCTTCAGGCCGCCGCTACAAAGTTCCAATTGTGAAAACTAAGAGAGCCCGTACATCCTTTATTCCAAGTACCATATCTCTCTTAAACAAATGTGAAGATACCTAAATCAAAGAATTTATGTAAATATGTTTGGTATCTCTCTAATGTGTCAGTAGCTCTGCTGATGTAACACAAATTCCTGAAAAGGCATTAAAGTATTATTCTATTCTATTCTATTCTATATCCTCCATACCAGGGCTGATATATACATCACGCTACATATATACCCCTCATACCAGGATGATATATACATCACGATACATGTATATCCTCTATAACAGGGATGATATATACATCACGCTACATGTATATCTTCCATACCAGGATGATATAGACATCACGATACATGTATATCGTCCATACCAGGGCTGATATAAACATCATGCTACACGTATATCCTCCATACCAGGGCTGATATATACATCATCCTACACGAATATCCTCCATACCAGGACTGATATATACATCACTCTACACGTATATCCTCCATACCAGGACTGATATATATATATCATGCTACACGTATATCCTCCATACCAGGGCTGATATATACATCACTCTACACGTATATCCTCCATGCCAGGACTGATATATACATCACGGTACACGAATATCCTCCATACCAGGACTGATATATACATCACTCTACACGTATATCCTCCATACCAGGACTGATATATACATCACTCTACACGTATATCCTCCATACCAGGACTGATATATACATAACTCTACTCGAATATACTCCATACCAGGACTGATATATACATCACTCTACACGTATATCCTCCATACCAGGACTGATATATACATCATGCTACATGTATATCCTCCATACCAGGGCTGATATATACATCATGCTACACGTATATCCTTCATACCAGGGCTGATGTATACATCACTCTACACGAATATCCTCCATACCAGGGCTGATATATACATCACTCTACACGTATATCCTCCATGCCAGGACTGATATATACATCACGGTACACGAATATCCTCCATACCAGGGCTGATATATACATCATGCTACACGTATATCCTCCATACCAGGATGATATAGACATCACGATACATGTATATCCTCCATACGAGGGCTGATATATACATCACGCTACACGTATATCCTCCAAACGAGGGCTGATATATACATCATGCTACATGTATATCTTCCATACCAGGATGATATAGACATCACGATACATGTATATCCTCCATACCAGGGCTGATACATACATCACGGTACACGAATATCCTCCATACCAGGACTGACATATACATAATGCTACATGCATATCATTCATACAAGGGCTGATACATACATCACGGTACACGAATATCCTCCATACCAGGACTGATACATACATCAAGGTACACAAATATCCTCCATACCAGGGCTGATATATACATCACGCTACATGTTTATCCTCCATACCAGGGCTGATATAAACATCATGCTACACGTATATCCTCCATACCAGGGCTGATATATACATCACGCTACATGCATATCCTCCATACCAGGACTGATATATACATCACGTTACATGTATATCCTCCATACCAGGGCTGATATATACATCACACTACATGTATATCCTCCATACCAGGACTGATATATACATCATGCTACACGTATATCCTCCATACCAGGACTGATATATACATCACGCTACACGTATATCCTCCATACCAGGACTGATATATACATCATGCTACACATATATCCTCCATACCATGGCTGATGTTCATGCTACATGCATATCCTTCATACCAGGGCTGATAAATACATCACGCTACATGTATATCCTCCATACCAAGGCTGATATATACATCACGCTACACGAATATCCTCCATACCAGGACTGATATATAGATCATACTTTACGTCATCGTCCATACCAGGACTGATATATATCCATACTACCAGGACTCCATATATATA